TTAAATTGAACCAAATCAAATCTCATAAGAGAAAACTCTTTTAGTGTCTATTTTTCTATTTATAAGATTTGAATTTAAGATTTTATTCAAGAGAAATTAAGCTCCTTTCATTTAAATCCACAAATTGTTGGTAACTCAATCTTACTTTTTTAATAAAGTTTTCTTAAAATAGATCAAAACTTGGAGTTTAATTGTAAAATAATTATATATCTCATTTTCATTAACACAAGTTAAATATACCACATACATTGTTCATGATTCATACATTACAAAAGAAGATATAGAACCTAGAGTTCATAATTCATGACATTTGTTAACATATATAACAAAAATTCTACTAAATATCATAAATTAAACTCTAAAATTTGTTAAAATACATAATAGAAAATTATGAAACCAAACACAATAAAAAAAATTCATCTACATCTACATAGAATAGTGCTACATCAATATTTACCTCTGTAGAATAGTGGAAGGGGAAGAACAAACAAATTCAGTCTATGTCAAATCACAACTATTTGGCGCGGTTAGTGATAAGGGTTTATTTGTACCAGTTGAGGAGTTAAAGGGCTTAATTGCATCATTTTTAATTTAAAGGCTTAAATGCTAATTTGAGGTAAGTTTAGAGGTTTAAGAAGCGTTTTTACCCTTTTTTTTAATTAGTACAATCGGAGGAAGAGAAATGAAATTGTCAAGACTTAAAACTTTAAATTTTTAAATGTTAACCACAACTCTCAATGGAGTTGTGACCATTGAGGCCACAATGGTGGTCGGTAAATCAATTCTACTAGTTTAATTGGTTCACCCTCAAGGCATTAGGGAATGCACTAATTATAAGTACAGTTTTCTCTTTTTCAAATTCCTTGCTACCCATTTAGAAGTTGATTTTGAAATCTTTGAATGCTTAAAATATATCATGAGATTTGAAGAGAATACCTTTAGTCAAATTCCTTAGGCTTTTGTTCCAAAGACATGTTGACATCTGAACATGAAACCTTTATAACATTAAAACTCAACTCTTAAATCACGCTTCATCCTCTTTCAGTATTTCGGTAGGAACTTCTATTCCCGTTTATTTTGGTAAATGAATTTTCTTACAATTTTGATTGACTGCTTAGATCTATAGAATAATTGCATCTGTTTTCCTTCTCAACATTTAACCTAAAACTACTAGAATATATATATATATATATATATATTGGCCATTAAAACTACTAGACGAATAGGAAATTTTTCTTGGTCCATTTTCCATAAACATGAAAATCAGCAATTTAATTTCTAACACAAAATTATAACCAACAATGAACTTAATTGCTGAATTCATGGAATAAATTATCTCCATTCGGAGGATTCAGAGAATCAACTTCACAGAATCATTAAGCCGCATAAGGGGATTATAACATAAGCAACATCTACCATGACGGACACTCAACATGTTGCACTAGAAAGATATGCTTCAAATCCATTTTCTGTAATAGAGTGATTGAATATAACGTCAAGGAGTAGTATCTAAAGACGAAGTGTACAAATTCTTTCATGTTAGAACTTTAACTAAGATTCTTAACTATAAATTGATTTTTCTAGAAAGGAGTCCTACAAAATTGAGTTAAAATGTTCGACATAAAGAAAATTTCTCAGTGTCCTGCTGCCATCCCTAAAGCAGAAATTTCTTCATTCTTCTCAGGCAGATTTCAACTTGGATGATGTCGCAGCCAAGTAGGAGAGAATTCTATGTCCAACAAACACGAGGAAAGCTCCCAAGAGACCGAGTGCTTTCAGTGTTGTGAATAGATCCAACTGTGAACAGAGAATAAAGACTTGAATGACTGAATAAAATGATAAAAGACAAAAAGGTAAACTTTGCAAAGTTTTGTTAGTACCTTCAACCAGAAAAGCACGTACAGCAACAGAACTACTCCAATGCCAATGTGGAAGAGAAGAGCAAATGTAGCAGGTGCAGCTTTTGTTGGAAAGTTCTTTAGGTTCACCTCTAAACGCAAGAGCTGTTCAAAAGCAACAAAATTAACATTTAGTGCCAGCTTAGGCATTCAGAAAGTGCAAAATATCTGGAACTAAGATGGCAACTATTCTAAAATTAGAGTCAGAAACAAACAGTCATGCCTTGAACATGCAAACAGACTGAAAGTTTAGAAGAATACAAAGAGGGAGCATGCAAGACTCACCCCAATCAAGAATCCAAGTAAAGGTAAAATGGTAAGACCCAAGAAAGTAAGAGATAGCTCCTTAGGAGGGCGCTTTTCAGGGGCCCTGAAGATGTGTGTTATTTCTGCTTTGGGCCCATATCTTGAGTAAGGATCAACAGGCTGTAAAGGTGGATGGGGTGCCTTCTCAGGCGGTTCTGGTATATCTAATTCAATGTGGCCAAGAGCACGCAATAAAGAGTTCTCCTGAAGAAAGCAGAAATGGCGATGCTTGTTCAATCTTTCTGAATGCAAAGAAATAAGTAAGCGAAAAAAAAAAAAAAAAGGGCTTACCATGACAGCATCACCTACGGTGAGCTCAATGTCATATCTACCTGAGAGATAGAAGAATTTCTCAACCAACCCTAGAAAATCCTACAAGAAAGATTACCATATCTGATTAACAAAAGAATGTCGTTATAAAACATAATACCATACTGAAATCTCTTGTCCTCCTAACATAGTTCATGGACAAGTCAAATAGAATGTGAAGCACAGTATATAATAAAGTAGAGCCACTTAAAGTCCTTTCATTTGGACACAACAGTTGGTAATGGTGTCGAAAGTGGATGTCTTCTCATTTTTAAATTAGTGTATCGACATATGTGACATAAGAAATTAAAGAATCTCATATTCGCAAGCCATGATATATTTTCCAGGGCATCATCACAAAAATATAGTCAACATCGCAACCAATGAAAGAAAAAGGTATCAAAGATACTTAACCAGAACCAACTGAAACTGTTTTCCAGAGCTTCCCACCACAAAGATGTGCTCAGCCTTGGACTCATGCCTCAATTTGAGTAATGCCTGCAATCCAAAAACCTTATTAACAAATTGCTTCAAAAAACACCATTCTTGCAGAAAAGAAATAAGAATGGTTTATGGTTATAAACCTGGTGTGGCTGAAAAGCATGTCTCCTAGGAGTTGTCAATTGAAAGGATAGGCGCAGCTTCTGGAGATGGTTCGCTGATAATGATGCAATATTGTTCCCAGCTAAATCTAGCCTACAAATGGGCAGGATATCCAAACACAAATTAAAGTCACTATGTTGAAATTTAGTTAAAAAAACAAAATCAAATCGTTAAGGCATTAACCTTTTAAAGTGTAATAACAGTAAGAAAAATTTGAAGTGTAATAAAAAGACATTATGCTAGCGGATAGGTATAAGCATCCAAAAATAGAAACAGAAAAATAATAAACAAATGAATAGAAAAAGAAAAAGAAAAAGTAGGCAGCATACTGTTTCTGTGTTTCTATGCTCCCTAGATCACTGTCAAGTACTGCAATTTCTGCATTTTCGATTTTGACAATCCCTGTGACAAATATTGGTACTTTTGTTTGGTCTCCGGTAGCATAAACCTCTTCAGGCTCCAATTCATGAAGCACGATCTACAAAAGTCTAACTTTCACACAAAAAGCCAGATGAAAATAAAGATTTGCCACATCTACAAGAATCAACAAGATTACCTCAAAAGTAAACATGTAACTTCCAACATCAATGCTCTTTGGCAAATCATTCAAGATGTGAACTCCAGTCTCAGAATTGAACTTAAGTTCCTGCATTTTATATGCTAGGTCAACATTGAACCAAAACTTGTAAAATTTAAAGAGAAAAGCATTAAAGTAGTAGGCATCGGAATTAGAAACATCAACAAAGGGAATACCAAAGGGAACTCAAACCTGGCTGTCAATTAGGGATGTGTCCTTTGAACCCAAAGCTCCCACAAGTTTGACTGTTAGAGGAGGTGCACTTGATCCAAGGACAGTGTTAACCCGAACCTGATTGCATTCACAAAACAGAGAACAAGGTAAAGCATTCTGTAACAAGGTACTGACCAAGAAGGCTATAGTTACAGCTTGATTACAGATATGTCAAAAGATGAGAAATACACAAATGGAGCAATACCCAGAAATATTAAATGGGTGTACTTAATGGATACATCAAACATGAAAGGCCAAAGAATGAATTGTCCAGGGGGTAACATAACACTGGTATCTAATATGCTTGGGAATATTAGTTGACAGACTACTGACAATTATGCATTTACAGCTCAATATTTGTATGCCTAATAAAAAAATTTTAATTGTCAAAATCACATTTGTTTTTTCCTTCTGTTGATTGATTCTGTTTGAAAGTTGGTTGATAATGCAGAGCCTGACAAAATTGGGGCATCTAACAATTATCCCCATTCACTTTGCTGACGTAATGGATGTTGGCTTATCATGCATGGTACATAAGTAATGAAGAGGGTGCAATCAAACAGATATATTGAGCTGGTACTTGATAACCATAAAAAACAGGCAACCACTTGCCCTCATGGAAGATGATAAATTTTAATTGGGAACACACCTTGAGTGAGTCTTTCTTAGTCAAAGAAAGCACCGTAGATGGAAGTGATAGAATCAATGGGATGGAGACTCTACAGTAAAAGAATAAATTTACAATAAATTTAAGAGATAATAACCAAATTAATTAACTTAGTGACTGAAATATAGCATCTACGAAGAATTATGCTCAAGAGATTCATCATATAAAGCCAAAGAAAATGATTGATAGAACTTTGAAAAGAAGTATCTTTTTCCCTTTTTTAAATCATAAATCATATAAAGTAATGTGCAAAACATGTTCAAGCCATTTCTGATTTTTAGAACATCAAAATTTTATGTTATGATTTCCACTTTGTGTCCTAATCAACACAAAGATAATTATAAAGATTGGAATTTTCCTACATCTCTTGCTGTACTTTCAATTTTGAAAGAGATTCAAGAAATTGTATTCTTAAATGTTATGAAAGTCACCACTAACATGAAAAAGATTTTGAAATGAATGCACTTCATAATAACAAAAACTTGACAACATTTACATTGCATTAAGAAAAGTATGCATTAAAACTACAAATACAAAAAGAGTCTTGCCTATTGTTTTCCAAGCAAGCTAAGGAGTCTATCTGGTTGAAGAAGTCTTTGGAATCGCCAGGAATTCCAATTCCAAGGAAGAATCTAGCCAAACCCAGTATTTTATCCCCAGGAAGCTGCAACAATAAAACAGAAGCATTAGAATTCATTCCAAGTTCCAAGAGAAAGTTGGCAGATACTGCTTTCCTTACTCACATTCAGACTTTCTTCTGTGACTGCCGCAAATGCTGTTATCCCCCTAACAACTGATGAGGTAGTTGAAATAGAACCTTGATTCTCATGTGAATCAATAAGTTTCTCATCAAAGTAAGAGGCTCCATTATCTAACGGGGGGGAAAAAAACGAAGAGATATGTCTCAACCATGACAGGACAAAAAATAAAAGGAAATTACAATGGATACAAACATAGAAATAATTTAGAACATCATCAATGGCACAGAAATGATGACTTGAAGTAAGAGAAATGAAATTGAAAGAAAAAATGTAGGCAATTAAAACATAACAAGAATTTGGAGAAAAAAGGGGGGGACAGAAAAGCATACAATACTTCTCGATTCCATCAAAAAGCTTAAGCACATCATTCCTTAGTGCACCAATCTGCCAAAAGTAACCAAGCTAAAATGTAATCACTACAAAAAATGATTATTGACTCACCCACACCCACACAAATTAAAAGAAAGAAAAAGAACCAAAGGTAAGATGTAGTAGTGACTTCTTAATGGATAGTTGGTGACTAAATGGTATGATATACCAAGACCAATGGTATAATATAACATCAGCTGAAATCCAAAGTAAGCAACATATCTGCACTTAAAGAACTGGAAAGTAGAATACCATAATGGTTGATTAAACTGTTGCACATAGCCACCTAATCAATTACTGGACAAGAGCAGGACCACACAAATGTTTAAATATGAAATGCAAAAGAATAACTGTTCTTTTTTCTTCCAAAAAAAAAAAAAAAAACTGTTCTTTTTTGGGAATTGGTAACAAGTAACTGGTCTTGCTACACAAAATGGAAAACTGAAAATTGTCATAAAATTATCTTTTTTAACTATTTTAGTAAATTTATAAAAAGTCAGACTTCAAAGCTTCTACTAGAATACAGGTAGTGGCATGTACAACATACCATAGATTGGTCAATTTCAGAAGATGATAATGAGACAACTCCAGCCAGCGTTTCAAGTGCAATTCCTGCAAGAGTATGACAAGCCCAGGTGAACAAGAATTGGTAAATGGAATTGAGTAAGTGATATAAAAATAAAAGAATGTCAAGCGCATAGATAATCAAAAAGGTAACTTCAATATTGATACAAAAGATCCATGCCATTGGAGAAGAATAAAACCAGTAACAATAGCACAAAATAGTATATTGAATCTTCAAAAATATTTACCAGCAGCATATGCACTAGACTGAGGATTACTAGAACTATAGCACCACCTGCCATCACTCTGGCTGAGAGCCTGGGGACCAAGTGTGAAATAGCATCAAACATTCTCAACAAAAATGCATCAAATAAATATAATTAGAACATGAAAGTTGGCTTAAATGACCAAAGAAAATCAAGACAAAGAATATAGGATTTCGCCTCAGGTGCAGTGAGAACCTCCTCTATCCATGAAAATCTAAACAGAAAACATCTTGTCCCACCTGATGGTGGGCCTCAGCTGAATTTGGGGAGGTTTGGAAATAGTCAGTACAATATCTTATTCTCACCATAACACTAATCTAGTCAAAGCAACCAACCTTGATGGAATGAAAAACTCCCTTAGCATCAGAAAGATGTAGATCAGCTTTCAATGACTGCTCCTGCATTGATGGACCAATTCAAAGAGGAGGAAACAATCAAGACAAATAGATAATTACTTGTACATAGAAAACAAAAACATATGTTACCTCAGTATGAAATAAATACTTCAAATTGCCCCTCTTATTCATTACCTTCATAAGCACTAAACTTCCTATTGAATGGTACAAGTCAAGCAACGAATTTGCATCATTGATGGCAGCTTTAAGTCTTGAAATTATGCCCTTTAAATAAAAAAACAAAGAAAGAAACAACATAAGTACTTGTATAAGATACTAGAACGCACATGTTTTTGAACATATGCCAGTACCAAAGGTTCTCCAATACCTCTAACGCTTTCTCGTTTATCTTGCATTTCAGGATGCCATTAACTTTTAAAGCAAAGAATAAATCCTTGAGAGAAGAAGAGGATGACTCGAGTGTCTTTGATACTGACGCACAACTAGCATGTCTTACATCAGACTTATTTTCAACTCCCAAGACCTCAAATGTTCTCAGCGCCTCATATGTCTCTTCTAAACTGTTACACAATTCATTTCAAGTTATTCATGCCCCACCCCAGCATAACACTTGCAGAGAACAAAATGGAGAAAGAGGCAATTGTAAAACAAACCATTGTAACTTAAAATCTCAAATTCATCATAAATGGAAACAAAATTTCACTCGCCATAGAAATTGTTATTCCTTTTTTTTTTTTCTCGCAATTTTCTCAGCAACCAAACATGAAAACAAGCCGCAAACATTCGCTCGCAAACGAAAAATAAATTAATGAAGAATACTTGAGGTTTAGTGAAACCTTCCAAAAGATCCGTTGACAGGCGTGAAGAGCTCTAGAGCCGCAGATCGGTGAGAATCGGAGATCGGTTGAAAGACGGAAGCAGCATCACAGATGGATACCAGAAGAATCAGAACCAGAAATCGTCCAAGATTTCTGGCCATTCCTGCAACAAACATCAACACCATCAATGTGCACAGATACTGAAAATGTGATTCAGAAGTCGGAGATTCAAGCGATGAAACCCTAGGACGCACCTGAAACGTGCTCAGATTTACGTCAGTGTCGTGAGTCTTCAGGTCTTCGGGGTCTACTGGTAGTGCTCAGAGTGTAAAAGATTGTTTTGTTGAAGAGGAAAAACTGTACTAAAAATGCAAATGAGATGTAAATTTTGTATTTTTATGGAAGGTTGTTAATTTGGTTAATTTTTAAATAAATATGTTAATTTTTTATTTTTTATATAAAATATTAATTTTTAATTTTTTTATATAAAAATATTAATTTTTTATTTTTTATTTAAAAATTAATTAAATAATAATATGAATGTGATAAATAATTTTTTTAAATAAAATGTTAAAATTAATAAATTTAAATAAAAAATTAAAATTTAATATATTTATTTAAAAGTTAATGAAATTAATATTTTTAAATAAAAACTATAAAATTAATATTTTTATTTATACCATTTATTTTCGTAAAAACTGCAGTAGAGGGTTCGAGTTTGTTTGATTTTCGAATTCGCCCGTGGAATTGAGGTTTTGGGCCGGGTTTGAAAGAAATTGGGCTTTTCAAGTGGAGAGGTCTTGTTGTTTAAATTAAAGAGTAAAAGTATAAATAAGGACGTGAACTTTATAATTTTTTTATTTAAAAATGTTAATTTTATTAATTTTTAAATAAAAATATCAATTTTCAACTTTTAACTTTCTCTATATAAGGATGTCAAAAATGAATTTTTTCTATTTAAAGATGCTAACTTTTAATATTTCGGTTAAAAAATCTATTTGTCACATTAACATC